TGGTAGGTGGATTCTGGCCTTGGGCTTGTCTAGAATAAACTATTTTCTCTTTAACCAACTCTGAAAAATAACCTGCGGAATTATCCATCTGCAAAGTCATGGAGGAGTGATCTTAGGTTTGCCTGTCAGAAACACAAGGATTATTAAATCATACGGCTTTTGCCTCTCTGCCTCCCAGTCCTGTATTTTTTTTTAATGTGAATTTAAGGATTATTAAAAGGTTAGGAGAAAGACTGAATGTTGTGGCTTCTTTCCTCTTTTTAGATTTATTTTCAGAAGGAGATATATTTAAGTGTACCTCAATCAAAAAGTGTATATAAAAAAAAGCTAACTGACACATATAAAATATCACCGGATGGTGGCAGGTCTGCAGGTAGGATGCTGGTTTTCTGACAAGGACTTGTTATGAGCCCAGTGTATTTTTAAAGGGCATTCAACCCAGACTGTGTTATAACAATCTGTTGGCTGTGCTCCAAATTTCAATTTTGTTTTCTTCGGGAAGTAAAAGATGAAAGCATCAGCAGCAAGCCCTCACATCCAGAATATGCTAGCAGCACCATTTAAGGCTAGTTATTATGATGTGTCTGGCTTAGGAGATGTGTAATTACAAAGTATTTATTTCACAATTGTTCCAAATTTGAGAGCATTTAGAGCTCAGTGCAGTGTTTGTCTTAATACACAGAGATATGGACCCTCAGGAAAAGTAAGCTAACGGTAAACACAAACCAGAGTGTTAATATTTGTCCTCGTTGGTATTGTTGATTGCCTAACAAATCCTTTGTGGGCAGCAGACATCCAAGAGTTCCACACAGTATATGGGCACTAAAGTACATAACTGTTTATGCAACTAGTATTGTAAATTGGTACATAGGCTGGAAGTTTTATCAAGTGCGCAGACAGTGCTATATTTCTAAAGGAAACTATTGCTTAATTAAAAACCAGCTTGGGCATTTAAAAAAAGAACAAAAATTAAGGCACCTCATTGAACAGGGAGGATAAAAGGAAAGGTTTGTAGTTCTTTTGTCTTTTTGATTGTACACAGGAGCCGTTGCTGATGCAGAGGGAAGGGTTAACATTTAAAATGGACTGGTTGCCTCCTGATTTCTTGCACATAAAACCATGAGAAGTTCAGGGAGAGACTTCTTCCCCTAGTAATGAAGCTCTCTGCTGCTAATGGCCCATGCAGACTCCCTTGGCTCCTCCAAATTAGAAATACTTTTGTGCTCCTTTGCTTCATTAACAGTAAAGAGAGGGAGATTGGTGGCTATTTAGGGCATGGGGAAATTGGTGGCTATTTAGGGCAAGCGAAAATTGTAGCAATTGTGGTTGGTAAATTCTCTTCATGGTGTTCTTCGACTCTTGATGTTCCTTGGGTGATTTTCAGAAGAGCCCACCACTGTCTCTGCTAGCATTTTTCCTAGAAGGATGGGAGTTATTTGAATTTTTGGTCCTGGGTGATGGTCAACACAAGGCATCTTGCCTACTGAGAGATGATGGGTCTTTTACATTTTGATTTGTTTTTCAGAATGTATCCTATGATTCTTTCCACTTCTAGCTGTGATAAGGGTATATTGGATAACCTTTACCTCCTCTACCTGTATTGCATTACAGAAAGCTGGTGCTGCATGTGAGTGCCTGTGAAATTGCATCCTGAATGAACCTTGCTAGAGAGATGGTGTGGCTTGATAGGATTAGGGCAATGCATGAAGAAGCAAGAGGAAAGGATACTTTAGAACCACAATGTGCTATGGTGGGTCTCTGATTGATCAAGGGGTTAGCATCAGATTATTAGATGCTCTTTGGAAGGAAATGGCATCACAAGAAAGGTACAAAAGTCCTAAAGACAAATAGAAATGAATTAGAGTTAGGATTCAGTTGCTTATTTGAAGAGAGGGGTCAGTTTTATAAGGGCCTTCTGAACCTGGAGAGTAAGGTCTGAAAAATGGCTTCTTCAATAATCGAAGTTACAATTTATAGAAACTAAACCAGGAGAAATTACATCCTGAAAATTGATGCTGATGGAAATTGAGAAGTAACTAAGTCTAGTTGAAGTGACCAGGAGGATTTTTGGGGCCACATTGTTGGAATTAAGAAGCATTTCTGGAAATATCTACCCAATAGATTATATTATAACATATAGAGGTAATATTTTCAAGGTGGTATGCATGATATCTTAAGAAAAGAGCGACAAAATATAGGTTGAAATTAAATGTAAACAGATGGGTGGATAATAGAATTCTTCTTTTGGTTTATAGTTTAAAATAACTATTTGTAAAAGTAGTTTAATTGAGAGCACTTGACTGGAAAAATAAGAAATTTAAGTCCATAAGAAAACCATTTTCCTAAACCAGGGCTCACTAATAGTGTAGATTGCCTGTAGGTGCCCACCACCAAACAGAAGTGTTTAAGTTCTCTTGGCAAATATTCTATTGATATGGAGGTTGACCATATTAAGCTCTGTTCACTTAGGATCAAAATGCTTATCTTCTTTGATTAATAAGTTTACATGAAATCCTCTGACACTCACGTGCTTTTCTGGGTAGACTTCCCGTTGGGGAGAAACATCACTAAGGGGCCAGTTGAACTGTTAAGCTGAGCCATGATGATTGAGAACAAATGGGTAGGAGATACAAGGGAGAAAATTAAGCTTTCTAAAGTTTATGTAAAGATTAAAAATCTATAATAATAAAAGTGTAATATGCTAATTAGACTGGGCGTCCTTCCAGACATCCTTCTGGATGACCTTCTGGATGAAGCTGGGGCTTCGAGGGAAGCTCAGGTCTCAGGTGCCAGAGGGAAGCTGGTGCTGGCAGCCTGGGGAAGGAAGGCCTACCCTTGCACGAATTTCATGCATTGGGCCTTTAATTAATAATTGTAAATGTTATAAATGGAGGAGGGATTTTAGAATGTGAATATCCCATGACTGGAAGAAGGGACAGAATAAAATATGGAGGAAATTCCTACAATGGATTTGAAATCAGAACAGATGACCTTTATGTCCATTCTGATTCTAAGAACATGAGTTGAATCTTCAACAATCTTGTTCTTTAGTTCCAATTTAAATTCTGATATACAGTGGGGCCTTGACTTACGAGTGTCCGGACTAACGAGTTTTTTGAGATACCAGCTGTCTCTCCGCCGATTTTTTGCATTGAGTTGATAGAGTAATTTGAGTTAATGAGCTCCTTAACGAGCTCCTTAAGGAGCTTGGTCTCGGAACGAATTAAACTCGTAAGTCAAGGCCCCACTGTACATGTGATAAAAACAAACGCTAAGGATCCTAAACCCAAAGAGGGAAAGAAGTCTCCCCCACCCCAAACTTTCAAAAGATTTTGTTAATGCTGCATAGGGAAATCTTAGAAAAGCATAGTTCTTTTATTCCCCATGCCCTGATTATTTTTCATCCCTTTAATTAACTTACAGATTAAACAAATACATTTAATCCTACAAGGCTCTGTAGCACTAAAAGTATTGAGTGTGTTTTTTAATGACCAAGTAAACCTCTAGACATTAAAATAAGTAGCACAGGATGGCAAACCTGGCCCATCTGAGGTTCTTAAATGAGCTGTAGATAGATCTTGTTTGGCTTGCTAATGGTTACTGAATACTTTACATAAGTTATCTCTTTAAGTTTCTCAGGAGCTAGATGAGATACATTCTACTGTTGTCTCCATTGAAAAAATAAAAAAAAAGAAAGCTTGAAGAGGGTCAGTAATTTGCCCAAGTTCATATACCTAGCACATATAAGATATAGATTTCCAGTTTATACCTATTTGACCATAGTCCCCAAGCACTTAGCACTAAAACAGTTTCCTTTTATAATATGCCACTGGATTGTAAATTGGCTGTGGATATGCTCATGCTACACCTCACTTTGAAAACCCAACATCCTTCATCTCATTTCCCTCCTCTTTGAGAATTTAATTATCTGCCTGCAGCAAAATGCCACAGTTAAAGGTTCTTATGAAAACTAAAACAAAGAGGGAAGGACAGTCATAATGTGTATTGATTTTTATTTTGCTTTATTTTTTTCCTGTCCACTTTGACTTTCTTTTATGGTCTTAGCATGTGGCCAACCCTATTGATGTTCTAGTGAAGTCTTAAAAACCACTTTCTGGAATGGGCTGTGCAAAATCATTTACAGAAATGAAAACTTTATAATTCTACCTGTGACGTTTACCTAACACTTTTGCCACACTCTGGCTCAGTTTCTTCATTTGGTAAAATGCAGTCCTTCTAGAAACCCTTTAGGAAATTGGCACCAGCTTTTGGGCGAGCTCTTCCAGGCATTCTTTCTTTATTTAGTAGACATGATTTGAGTGCCCGTTGTGTGAGGGTCCTGTGCCAGGATAGCAAGAAGAATATATCTCTAACATAAGGATCTCACAACCTATGCTAACAAGCACAAAAGCAAGCCCAACAACACTGAGGTGCGGTTGTAGGTGTGAACACTGGGCATTGTGCAAGCCCACAAGCGAGGAGCCAGGCTACTTCCTCCCTCTGGGGAAGGCTACTGATGCCATTCCTGCTGGGCAGTGGGAGGTAGGCTTCTGAGAGTCTGGGCACATCAGGTTCTGGCTCTCAGTCATTGCTCCCAATAAGGATATCTACTGACTATATAATATATTTTCTGCTGTGGAGAAACCTGGTCTACAGCAAAATTCTGGTCATGGACTTTTTTTTTTTTAAATAATAGACTATAGTCCTGGTATATGTGAATTCATTGAGATGGCATTTTAGTGGCATCCGTTATGAACGTTACTACCTCCAATCCACCAGACCAGTGACATGCACAGACGATGCAAGGACAGCTTCGCCCTGGGCTATTTTGACGCATGCAGTGACTGCTGGAACCTCCACAGACACACAGAGTAGAAGGGGCCTACAGCACACATGGAGAGAATAGAAGATGAGTCATAACTGATGGAAGAAGTGTACATTAGATCCAGGATGAACAAATAACTTAATACCCATTTTTTTTCTTTTTTAATTCACTCTAGAACTAATGCTCCGGATATTTCTTATGACTTAACCTTGACTGACAGCAGAAATAAGACAACCACTGTCAACTATGTGCGTGACACATTGTCTAACCCTGATGGCTGGATGGCTCTCCTCTTGGATCAAGAGACCTACTCACTGCGATTTGAAACTCCTTGGACCAACAGATCTCTGCAGGGAATTTATTCAATGGTGTGTTCCACTTCCAAGTGCTTATGATGCTTCCTTCTGTAGAATAATAGTTTGAAGGTATTAGCATCTTTTGGTATTGATAAAGAAAACTGAAGCAGCATTTTGACCAGATGAATGTGTGATTGTAACTTGAATACAATGTGTGTGTGTGTGTATTTGAAAATTTTATAATCTGTTTAATAAAATTTTCAAGTTTATGTATTTCAAGTTTATATATATTTCACCTTGAGTGCAGATTGGTTCTGCCTGAATTTTTAGGTTTATTAATACAATAAAAAACAGCTTCTAAGCAATCTATAGAATTGTATTCTTATATTATGGGTTAAGAACCAACTTAACCCAGAGAGAAGTGTTTGTAACCCAAGAAAAATGCCTTAGCAAAGCATTTTTATGTTGCATACTGCCACCTTGTGGTCAAAGATTAACTTGTAAATGAAGGTCTAGGAGTCAAATGGTTAGGGGGAACAAACACAGGAATAGTCATGTAGGAAGTGGGTGCATTTTCTGGGGGAAAAAAAAAAACAAGCAAAGGTGGATTCCCTCAAGCTTCTTTTCTTCCTTTGAACACGTTTCTTTCTTTCTGTCTCCTAATATTTCTATTTCCTACAAGCCCCGAGAGCAGTGTTAGGGAACTAGAAGCTGGTTTAGGTGTGCCATAGTTCTGAGGAGCTCAAAACAGAATCTGTCTTTATCCTCTCACCACCTCTCTGAGAGCAGAGAGCTCTTTCCTTCCCCAAAGGCTCCCATGAGAACATTTCATGGAATTTGCATAAGGTAAAGGCAGCCGATTGGTGACTGGTTTCTCTCCTGTCGCACACTCTCCAACTTTGTGATATGGGACAAGTTTCCTGAGCCTCTACCTGCCTCACTCTCCTCATCTGTAAAATGGGGCATGAACAGTAACAATCACAGGAGTTATTTCAAGGATTGAATGACTTTATGTGAGTCGTACTTAAGCATGTAGCACAGTGGCTCTCAACCTTGGCTGCACATTAGAATCACCTGGGAATCTTTTTAAAATCCTGATTTCTGGGCCTCATCCTCCGGAAAGTCTGTTTCTTTGTTACTAATGTTGTGGCCCCACCCCGTAACAAAGAAACAGACATTCCAGAGGATGAGGGACATAAATCAGGATTTTAAAAAGATTCCCAGGTGATTCTAATGTGTAGCCAAGGTTGAGAACCATGGATGTAGCACATGCTACAACGGTGTTCGCTGTTGCTGTTATAAATGGATGATACTGCCAACATTGCCTGCCTCTTTAAAGGGATTCCAGACCTAGCTCTGTCTCGTCTAGCTATTTGACCTGGGACAAATCAATCCACTTGTCTGGGCCTTGGTTTTCTCTTGTGTTAATTAAGGAAGTTAAACAAAAGGAAACTTACGGTGTCTTTCCGTCCTCACCTGGTATGATTTTGTAAACTCTAGTTCTGAGTTTGTTACGAAATGGATTCAAATAAGCCCATTCCCCAGAAGAAAAGTCGTCTGGGTATAAACTATCTTATTTCTAAACAACTCAGTGTTGTTTGTAGCTTTTTAAAAAAAATACATTTTATTGATTTTTTACAGAGAGAAAGGGAGAGGGACAGAGAGTCAGAAACATCGATGAGAGAGAAACATTGATCAGCTGCCTCCTGCACACCCGCTACTGGGGATGTGCTCGCAACCAAGGTACATGCCCTTGACCGGAATCGAACCCGGGTCCTTTCAGTCTGCAGGCTGATGCTCTATATACTGAGCCAAACTGGTCAGGGCTGTTTGTAGCTCTTTTTATAGGGGAGTCTTCCTTCCTAAATAAGCCCTATTGTATTTTTCTCTCACTTCAAGTACTCAGCAACATTTGACAACTTTGCTCCTGGGAATTACCTCCGGCTGGTCCACACAGTCCTGTGGCCTTCCCCTGACATCCTCATACGGTGCGGGAGTCGAGCGGGGCGGTCGTTGCCCTCTCTTCCATCGCCTGGTAAAGACCAAGGCTGTGATTGGTTCTTCAATAGCCAGCTGAGGCAACTCACCTATCTGGGTAAGTATAATTGCATGGGCATTTTTAAGGGCACATAGTAAGAAAACACCGCTCACTCTTGAATTTTAGACAGTTGTGCTATGAAACGATGGGGAACTGAGGGAAACAGCTGTGTGTTATGGTTAAGTGGATGGGCTTTGAAATCAGACTGTCTGAGTTTAAATCCCAGCTTCAAGCCTTACTAGCTATGGGACACTGGGCAGCTGCTCTTTTTCTCTGAGGCTCAGCCTCCTCACCTATAAAATGAGATAATAATAGGACCTACCTCAAAAGATAGGAAATTATATAAAGGATAATATGTAAAACTTTTTATCAGAGTGCCTAACCCATAGCAAGTGCTTAATAAACATTGTTATTAATATTTTCAATTCACTTTAAGGCACTGTTATATTTGTAGAAAGATCAAGTGCATGGGAAAGACAGGATGGCTTGGTTATGGCCACAGATATTAGGAGCAACAGAGAGGACAGGTGACAGCTACAGAGAGGAGGAATGAAGAGTGAAGTTACTGTGGAAGGTGAGAAGGAAAGCCTTGGAAGGTGAGAAGGAAAGCCTTGGAAGGGGATCCAAGGTCAGGAAGGTGCGGAGGCGTGGAGGGCTGATCTGAGGATCTGAGGACTGGGGTGGGCTGTCTCTGTCTTGCATCAGGATGTAGCATACAGGAGGAAACCTCTCTCTCTCTCTCTCTCTCTCTCTCTCTCTTTCTCAAAACAATACACATATCCTCACGTGAGGATTAAAACAAAAAGATGTAGGATGCAGGAACCTCATCTTATAGGACCGGAAACCCTTCTGTGATTGCAGAGTAATAGATGGCTGAAGGATTTCGTTATCATCTTATTGTGCGTGTTTCACAGGAGTTTTCTTTTGACTTCCTGGTGTTTGTCTCATATTCTTGTTCTATACCATGTCAGCATTGGTCACTCTGAGCACTGTGATATCCATTTATACCAACCTCAGCTCAGTGTGGTCTGTAAGGAGAATCTGTCCAAATGGGTCTCTAGAATGTCAATTTTGTTATCAATTAGTCTTAACAGATCCTGGTCAGATTCAGGAGAACTCACAGCACCTCAAGTCCCAGCTACAAGCCAGTCTTGTCCCTAAGGATGTAGAGAGCTGGGCAATTGTCCCGAGTCCCCGGCCCCTCTCCCTTGTGCCTAGCTGTATGTCCACTGAGTCTGAGCTACTCTTAAGCCCTGGGATGATGACATGTTAATAGCACCATAGAGGAGAGTATGGTACTTCTCTGGTATTTTTATCTTTGCCAAATGGATTGTTGTATATTTTACTTGCACTGAATTGTAATGTTCAGATTTTCTTTTTGATTTGATACATTCATAAATGTAACCTAAAACTATAAAAACTCAGGAGGGACAGAGAGCCTGTGACGGGTTTACCACTCTGGAGGGGAATACCAGTAGCAAGAGCAAATCGCTGCCATTAATTTTAACTATGACTATTCACTTGATGTATATTATAGAGCAAAATTTAATTCCAAATGGTTCTTGTTCTATTACTTAGTGTGCTCTTCGGAAACATGTCCATTGGTCAGATTCTGTTCATGAGCTGCGGACAAATTTGAATACTCACATAAGCCAAAATGATAAAGGAACATTTGGGGCTTAAAGACAAAAATCAAATCAAATCACACAGTTACAGATTTTCTTCCCTTTTGATAGTATTATTTATTGAATTAATAGCAAGTGAAACTATTATCCTATATATACTAGTATATACATATATGGTATAAATAGACATACCATGAGTATGTATAAGTATATATACTTATGCATAGATGTACCTCTGCATATGTATATTGTATATATATGATGCGATGAATATTTTAATGTAAAACATTTTAATTAGGTATATAGTTTTCATTAATTTTTACAAAGTTCTTTGTCAGAATACCCGGGTATTTCCACCCTTTGAATAATATGAGTTGGAAAAGGAACAGGAAGTCGCAGAGGGTTGGTTGAATGTTTAGTGAACTTGGAGACCCTTGTTCCTTGGAGAGGATTCCCAGGGTTCCAAGCAGTGGCTCTCAGGGTCATTTGTGCCTCCTGTACCCTCTGAGCATAAGGGGTAGAGAGGAGGCCAGAGCCACTTCTGTTCCCATTTCTGGGCTGGCACAGTGAGGACACCAGGACCCAGGGGGAACGGAGGCTCCTCCCGCTCCTCCTCGCTGGTACCCATGCAGCTCTCTTGGTTTGCATGGATTTGGTCTGATCTCCTTTGTGCATACTTTACAGCATCTTTAGGAGGGCTAAGGATGCCATGATGCCTAAATGGCAGTGAGGGAGTTGCAGCTGGTACCTGTTTCAGTTCTGTGCCATGCATTTCACATATTGGTTGGTTTACTTAATTGTTTTTTTTATTCATGTGAGAGTATAAGTCTGTGATTGGCCTATTTTACACAAAATACATATAATCTAAGAAGAAAGCCCAAGTACAGACCTCACATTCTGTGTGGACATATTCCTGGGATGAAAAATCATGGGGAGAGTTGTGTGTACAAGTTTCATTTCATTGTAGGGAAACTGCTTGGCCTCCTTCAGGTCCCCTGAGTTTCCTGTCAGACTTTCAGGGGGGACGGGGGTCGGGGGGAGGGTCCTGCTCCTTTTCCTGGCTGGCTTTCACTCAGAGTGCTGCTCCACTGACCATTCATTTGTTGACCACTTCTAAGTGGATCGTCTTTTGTATTGTTTGAGACCTAACCACATCCCCCAGGAGAGGAATTTTTTAAAATCACAATTATATTCATTTCCTGCATTTGGCTACTTCATGTGTTTGATTTAAAATACCCGACTAACCTTAGATATGGCTGAGAATGGGAGAAATCAGAACCCAGGCATTCTAGCTCCTGGCTATGGATCCCTCCACTAGAGTGTGCTGCCTGCCAAAGAATCATTGATCACTGACCAGAAAGGGTGGTGCTGGGGGTGCTGGGCAGGGTCATGGGAGAAGACTTCTCGCCGATCCCCAGTGACAAAGACAAAGGATCCTGTACATATAATATCTTTGACCCTTGAATTTCTCTCTCTACCGAGGCGAGTCTTGTCTTTGTTCCGCAAACATCTTTATGGAATGCAGGTTCTTTGGAAAGCTCATGGCCAGAGCTTAGGGCTTAAGGTTTTAATCAGTGGCTGGCTGGCTATTTTACCTGGGGCATGGAATTATAAATGCTCCATGCCTCAATAACTTCATCTATACAGCGAGGTTAAGAATACTGACTTATCTCTTGCAATTGTGCTACCAAACACCCCAAACATCCTCAGGTGTGATTAGTGTGCCATGTTACCTTACTCAAAATTTTCTCGAGATTATTTCTTTAGATTTTTTTTTTTATTTCCTCGGAACTTTAACAACGTCACAAGCCTTGAACTCATCATCACCTTTCTCATTTTATTTTCCTTGACTAGATTTTGTTAGAGAGCTGAGATTCATGATCATATGACATACATAACATATTGTTCCCATGATTGAAATTTAATACCACTTAAGCAATTGCTACCCACAGAATAAGATAACCTCGCTCATTTAAAGAGATCTTGTAAGGAGATTGGTTCAGGTGGACTTTCTAAAGTCCCTGAGAATGCTGCCCACGGAGCCCCTTACAAAACAGACCACAAGTGAAGTACTGTGTGCTGTGGTTGTGTTAGGACCCGGAGGGGCAGTATTGGATGTGATTAACTATTATGAATGGTGGTTCCGAGATGTTACCTCTGTGCCATGCTTGGGATGGATAAGCCTGTAGAACAAGTGTTCTTTCTCATTTTCAAAGCCGGACTCAAAGCCAGCAAGCCCATCTCCCCATTTATACCATTTGATTTCCTGGCAGCTCCTGGCTCTGCCTGACACAGCCAGCTTCCCCCAGCCTCTCTCCCCGCTGTTGTTTTCCAGGGCGGTTTCAGTTCATGGTGAACTATTTTTATTTTTTAGTTACATTAACGCTATGAAATAATTAGTCAGCTAATTAATCTGGTTTACAAGCTTTGTAGGATTCTTCAGCTGTCAGTCAGGCCCAGGCCCGAGGCCTACATCTCGTCTCAGCTCTCTTGCCCATGTGATTCCTGTTGCCATGGCTACTGGCTGCATCTGCTGACACCCCACTCTCTATTTATTGCTTAATTAAGAATTTCACGCTCAGCCCTTATCTGCCTCTAAGAACAAGCGCACACTGTTAAGAAATTCCAAATATAGGCCCAGGCACAAGGAAAGCCTTTCTTGCGGGCTTGGCTGGACGGAGCCCCTCTCAGGATCTTCTCGGCATCCCAGCCGCCACCCTTCAATCAAAAATCATTAAATGGGACAGAGATAATGAGCATGTCGCATATCAAAAGAAGGATGTTTGCTTGATCCCAAGGAGGAAAAGCTGCTCGTCTCCATCTCAGCTCCACTTCAAAGGGAGATGAGACCCCCTCTTCCGTGAGGCCTGATAAAGCCTCATTTGTTCTGGGCTTGACTTATGCAAAAGGTCTGGTATGTCCGAGTCCCATTGCACAGACGTGGCCTCCCCCCCACCTCTTGCCTCCACCTCCACCAGCCCCTGCCTGGCCTTCCGCACACTGCACACTCGTGTGTCAGCACTTAGGCAGCTGGGTCCCCCAGAGCATCAGGCGGAGCGTGTAATCACCGACTCTCCACCGACAATGGCCACTTGTAAGGGGGTGGCCAGGAGGAGGTCTTCCTCACAATAGGAACACAATTATTGCAGCTGCTGGGGAGGGCCAGGCTTCTTCCTGTAGAAATAGAATAGGACTTGCTCAAAACAGGGGACGAAGTGGGGGGGAGGTGGCGGGGGTGGAGATGGGGGGAGAAAACAATCTTGAGTTGATTATTCATATTCTGACTCCTGGAAGCCCCATGCGGAACCAGTGGGGTTCCAGCAGCTGCTCGTGCGCAGCCCTCTGCTCATAATTGTACATTCTGTTAGGGGTCAACTTACTTTTGACCCTGTCCTTTCATATCGGTAAAAGGCTCTTCAGGACAAACTGTTG